AATTGTGTAACGCTAAGGAAACAAGCTGGTCCATAGTATATCATACCTCTCCAGCCAACCTGACTACTCTGACTTTGGCAAGAATCAAAACTAAATAAAATCCACATGTCCTAACAGAAAATACAAGGCACTAATTAAATATTTTTGATGATACTATACCAAAATGGTATCTCTTAAAGGAGAACTAAACGTAGAAGAAATAGTCTTAGAGGTGGGCTTCCTTCCAAAAGGTTAATGTATCACCACCAAAACGTCTTTTTGAAGCTCCCTGGACCAGCTTATAAAAAGATTAGCAAACAGCAAATCACTTTAGAGAGGTTCTCCTCATCTGGGAGAAAAATAAGCAAAACCCAAAGTGAATATTAACATAAAAAACAAAAGCTATTTTTGTTCTAGAAAAAAAAAAAGCAAGAGCAAAAATGAATCCATTTGGCACTCAGGAGAAATATTTTAATTTCCTTTCTCTTCCATGTGTCCAGGCACTGCTTCAAAGTCACTCATTTGTAATCAAATCAGTTGCGTGGCACAGGAATGGTAATTCAAGAAGCTGCAGAGGAAAAATATTCTACTTTAAAATGTAGAAGCCTCAAAAAAAAAAGCCCATGAGGCTAAAGGGGTATATGAAGATAAACCAGGGAAACCGCAGGGGCTGAGAGTCATCTGCCTCTGCTCTGATCACATTACTGTTAGCTTTTCATAGATTGCTAGTCTCTCCATTTAACTTCCTCCACTGAAACAAGAGCGTTGTGAAGAAATACCAATGATGATAATGACTATCAGAAACACTCTCCTGGAGGGATCCAGGAAGAATTTGCTCAACTGATTTAAAAAAAAAAAACTGACCCTCGAGATAAGAAATGAATTAAGAATGTCCATAATGCAATTACATGTGTATGAAAAGGTGAATACATATAAGAACCTCTGGTGCTGAGAATTAGGATGGGGGGCAGGGAGAAGCAAAGACCACCAGGCAATTAGGGTGATCTCCATAAACAGAGTGGAAGTTGGCACACATAAATAACACCATCCAGATGCATATATGAATATGATCAAGGCACTCATTCAGCAAAATACATAATGACGGCACCTGTGTGCCAGATTCTGTGCCATTCCATACGGATCTGCCATCCTGGACTCATATTCTAAGAGAAAGAATGAGAATTTTCAAGCTTTTAATCAAAGGAACCTCCTAAAGCTTCCTGAAGCTCCTCATTAAATGCATCAGCACTCTAACATAAATATTTAAATTCTCTTTAATTAATTAACAAAAAAGCAGGATTGCTTTAAGCTTGGGGAAATCATAATGCAAAATATTTCCAAAATGAAATAACACTTGGATACAAAATGCACAAATCGGTGCTAAGAGAAGCATACAGAGAAGAAGCGCAGTGTTTAAAGGCTGGATCAAAGAATAACTAATAGGAGTGAGCCATGTAAACTTTTCAGAGGCCCTAACCAGGAATCCAAAGGCCGGTTTGGTAAGGTAACATCAAGTTAAAACTTCTGTTCCGGGCTTCCCTGGTGGCACAGTGGTTGAGAGTCCGCCTGCCAATACAGGGGACACGGGTTTGTGCCCTGGTCCAGGAAGATCCCACATGCCGCGCAGAGGCTGGGCCCGTGAGCCATGGCCGCTGAGCCTCCGCATCGGGAGCCTGTGCTCTGCAACGGGAGAGGCCACAAAAGTGAGAGGCCCGCGTACCGCAAAAAACAAAACAAAACAAAACCAAAACTTATGTTCCTGGTGAAGTGCTACTCGTCATTCTGACAATATATATAGTTCCTCCTTAAATAAACTATCTCAGCATAACAAATAAAAAGGATTAGAAAGGGAAAAAATGTCATAAATTTCTTCTAGATCTGGTAGATTCTCCTCGGCAGCCTTTGATACTTGTAGGAGCTAAACATATCAACGCCTGCTTATAACAATAAAACAGTAACAAAGAATTACATTAAAAAAAACATTTCTAGGATATTAAAATTAATTATGTATCACATCACGAAGTATTATTTCAAATCCACAATAAATAGGATAGTGGAAGAGGCCAGGACTTAACAAGATCTGTTGCCATAATGATCTTAACCATGTCAGATAGTTAACCAATGACAACAGCAATATTTCCCAGTATGATCCTGTATCTTTTATTCTTCACCACCATTCTCATTCTCAGATCCACTAACCATTCCCTGTAACAAGTCTTAATTTTCCAAGAGGGCCAGCAAGGCCTAAAGGGAACTATATAAGAGGCCAAATAAAACGATCCAAGTTACTACCTTGTTTAGCTGTTAATTTTGGAGACTTTAAATGAAGTTCTTAATTTGTTCACCCTGTTCTCCCTAGGTACAAGGAAAGGGGTCAAGATCTCCGCGACAGCTCCTTCTTAACCATTAATAGAAACGCTGATGCTTTGCCTATGCAGTTCCCAAAGTGACAACATCTCCCCAGGATAAATTTGTACCTCTCCCCCAAAAAAGGAATCAGTCAGCGGTCGAGTAAGTTTCAGAATACTGTCTTAATCAAAATTAGGCAGGTTACCTTCCTTCAGGACTTCTCAGAGCCTTTAATCCAAGTACACAGATATGTCAAATTCCCATTTAGCTAAAAATCTTGAAAAAGGAACAGCACATGGGAAAATGTACTGGAAAAAGTTCAGAAACACAGAGTTTTGAAAAATTAGGCTACATAAGCACCAAAGAAGCAGCACAGGATAGACAAAGGGAATGGGCTTACCAGCTTTGTACCTTTGGACAAATTACTTCACCAAGTGCCTCAGTGTGTTCTATCTGTAAAATGGGGGAAATAGTACCAACTTCCTAAAATAGCTGAGGATTAAATGAGATAACATATAAAACCCTCTGAATCAAGCCTGACACAGAGTAAATACTCAATAAATGTTACCTATTATCTTTGTTACATACTTTGCAAGGTTATTTTAAGCAAAGAAATACACATAATTTATAGAATATATCCCTGGCAAGTAGTAAGCACTCAATAAAAGGTCATTGAACACTGTAAAGTCCTGATCACAGTGTCTAGCACAAACTAAACCTGAATTGCAGTACTGAATGTCACTATGATTACATCATTAAGATTAGACACACGGAAAACAAACTATGGTTACCAAAGGGGATAGCAGGGTGCGGGGGTGGTGGTGGTGGTGGACAGATTAGCAGTTTGGGATTAACATATACACACTACTATATATAAAATAGATAACCAACAAGGACCTACTGTATAGCACAGGGAACTATATTCAATATCTTGTAATAACCTATAATAGAAAACCCGAAAAAGAATATATGTATGTATAACTGAATTGCTTCGCTGTACACCTGAAACTAATACATTGTAAATTAACTATACTTCAATGGTTAAAAATGGTTTAAAAAAGATTATAAGGTCTTAACCATTAATAAAAACACTGCTGCTTTGCCTATAACACATTTCCTAATGTGACAACATCTCCCTAGGATGATAACAACAAAGATATCTGAGCCTCGCCCACTGCCAAAAAAGGAATCAGTGATCAAATAAGTTTCAGAACTATTGTATTCATCAAAATTAGGCAAAGTTTCTTTCTGCAGAACGCCTCAGAACCTTTAGTATGAATCTCTAAGTAGGGAATATACATTTCCCAAATGCATTTAATGAGGAAACTTTCTTTCACTGAGCACTCTTGGGACTGTTGTTCTTTGGAACACAGAATGGAAACTATCCTAACTCAATGGAAAAATAGAACAATGTCTGGTACATCACTAGTTTGTAACAAACTTTGGTTGTACAAATGTAAAGGGGTCCATATTTTGTCATGGTTCCCAAACATATTTAAGGGTGAAATCCTTTTTTTTTTTTTTTTTTAAGCAGCATTTGTGGGACTACAATGCCAGGAAACATATCTGGAAGCATGCTTGTCTATGGAAATGCAGTCCTATTAACCAATGTGACCTAACACAAGCACAACCTAGTTTAGCATTCCTACTAACACAGATTGCTCTGTGGGAGATGTGCTATCTGAAGGCCAAAAGATTCACTTTAATAGGTTACCCTCAATCCATTTGCTGGGCACTAAGGCAGAGCCTAGTGACAGTTTTCACACCTCAGTTTATGGAACTCCCCCTCAATTTTCCTTTTTTTTCTAACATCTCCAAGGCAACACCACTAGAAGAAAAGCTGGGAAACTATAACTACATGGGTACGTTCTGCATTTAATAGACGTACTCATAAACTACCAGAGTTCTGCTCTCCCTTTTTCTCCTTTTTTGTCTCTTCCAGGAACTACCTGACCCCCAGAGTTGTACCTCTCTGATACCTAGCATAAAAGCCTTTCACTCACTTTATTTAATATTATACTTTATTTAAGAAACCCTAAATAAACTACTATAATCAATGCCATCTTTCCTTCTTTTACAGGAACTTTTTTCCCATCCCTCCCTCCTAATAATGAATGTATCTTATCCTCTCCTAGATTCTCATTCCTCTAATTTGCATTATTTGCCTCAAGTTGCACTCAAGCCCCAGCATCGAAGGTTCCCCACTCTTGGACAACAGTCTTAAGATGAACCAGAAGGATTACACGTTTGATCAAAAGAAAAAAAGGTAGCTATTTCAACAGGGAGTGGGAAGTTACAGATCTTTATGTTTATACATAATGGTTTTAGAAATCAATACCGTACGTGCAGCGAGCTTAAGAGCCCATCCACATGCAAGTATAAAGGAACTAACAAAGTTCGTCACCAAATTGTTCCTTTAAGCGACGTTTGAAGGAAAGGGTCTGCTGAAGTTTGAGGAGGGGGCGGTCGTGGCACAGCACTCGTGGGTCCCGCGGGCAAGGACCCACCGGCCAAGGCTCCAGGGGGTCTCGCTCCAGGTGCCTGCGCTGACCACAAGGTCAACCTCGCCCTGCGCCTTCTTCCCTGGAGACCCCTCCCGGGGACCTGGGAATCCCCCAGAGCCCTCAGTCTTATTGCCGGGATCCACAGGGCTGACGGCGTCCGGCCTGTACCTGGTCATAAGGGGACTTCTCCAGCATCTGCGTGCACAGATCGGCGCAGAGCTGGAACTTCCTGCGCCTAAAATAGCTCCAGGCCAGGAGGAGCGGATCCATCTCCGAGCCCACGGCGGCTCCGAGAAAGACCAGGGCCCGGAGCAGGCGGCGTCCAGCCCTGCCCGGCAACGCGCGGGGGCAGGGGCCTTGCCAGAGAGGCGCCCCGCGTCGCGCCTGAGAATAGGAAAAAGAAAACCCACCTCGAGTAGAACTCAGCTATAGGACTGCCAAACCTTGGCTTTAAAAATCATATACTTTTAAAGACTACATATTTCATTAATTTTCTAGAAGAAGGAACCGTGGCTAAAGTAAGAGGCAGTGACTTAGACACCTGCAACTGGGGTCCTCCACCCACCCAGAGGAGGACCGGTTGCCTGGCAACCGAACTCTCCGCGTACTCTGCCAGTCCCAGAAAAATCCCGAGAGTTGACCGTACGGCCGGTCGTTGTCATACTCTTACTCTTCAGGCATTCTTACCCCTATCACTTATCCCTCCGACTTTAGAAACACAAACATGAGAACAGTTTCTCCAATACCATCTCGCCCACCAGAACCCAAAGACCTAAATCCTAAAACTCCCAGTCTGTTTTTCTAAATCCCTCTCACCCAGTCTCGGTGTCCGAATGAAAAGGTACATTGAGGATTGCTTAGTCCAAACCGTTCGTTTTACAGATAAGAAACTGAGATGAGCTCAGAGAAATTATTAACCTAGTGTGGCGTGGAGTTAGGGAGCTGGATTGTAATCCAGATGACTACAAACTGTTAATACCATTTGTTAATTCCACGATGCCTAGGGGTTCTGGATTATAAATCGGTGACATTTTTGCCAAACAAAATAATGTACGAAAAAAAAATCTTTAAGGAGGTTTTGAAACACCATCTCCACGTACTTGTTGCTTGTCAAATGTTTACTTGTGCAGAGTGATTTTTTCAGGTACAATTCTGACTTTCCTCTAGAGATTTACACAGATGACAAATATCTTTTATGGTTAGGAAAAGAGAAGTGTGACCAAGCTAAGTCCAGGTTGACTTCATTATGGAGGACTAGGGGATATTTTTTCCTTGCCTTCTTCCTACCACAGTGACAGAGGCGGGAGAGGAAAAGTTAACTCGATATTGAAGAACTTTCTGATCAGTTCTAAATCTCCTTTACAGATAAGAAGCGAACTAACAGCTCTTAGTAAAGATAAATCACTCGTAATTTTCTGAAACCACTAAGGTACCATAATGAAGACATTATATTGAATCCAGATATATATACTTCTCATATATATCATAATGAAAGCTTTCTAAAATAAAAAATGGGTTGTGAGTAGTTTTTTCTCCTTTACTAAGCAGTCATTCTTGAATTTTTGTATCTTGGAAGCAATTAATTATCAGGATTGTGATTATTCCAGTTACGTTTACTACAATTAGTCCATTTGTGTTTCCCTGGAGGTGCCTCTAGAAATGTAACCGGTCTAATGCAGCAGCCTACTGTTTCTAGGGGTCAGGACTTTAGGACCGTACATGCTGGAACTGGCACTTGGGCTCGATATTTCACAGGGTCCTTTTGTTTTCTGGTAAAATGTAAGTGGAATCTATGTAAGTGATTCTCAACCCTGGCTCCATATTAGATAGATTATTTTAAGTAAACTATTTTAGAATATATTTAGATTTATGGAAAAGTTACAAAGATAGTACAGAGAGTTCCCATCTACTCCTCACCCAGTTTCCCATTGTTAACAACATTACTACAGTACATATGTCACAACAAAGGAACCTACATTGGTATATTACTATTAACTCCACAAATTATTCAGATTTCCGTAGTTTTCCCCTAATACCCTTTTTCTATTCCAGTATCCCACTTTGGATACCATATTACATTTAGTCATCAATGTCTCCTTTGCCTCCTCTGGTCTGTGACAGTTTCTCAGACTTTTCTTGTTTATGATGACTTGACAGTTTTGAAGAGGGCTGGTCAAGTATTTAGTAGAATGTCTGTGGAGCTTTTAAAAATACAGCTGCTCACATTCCATTCCTAGAGAGTCTGACTTAAATGGTTTGATATAGGGCTGGAGCATCAGGTTTTTTTGTTTTGTTTTGTTTTGTTTTGTTTTTGTTTCCCATGTAATTCTAATGGGTAGCCAGGGTTAAACAACCTCTGTGCTGAGTTCTAAATGGTTTTGTATACGTTGTGATTATTGTCAACTTCCTAGAGAAAAAAATGTGTGTGTGTGTATATATATATATATATATATATATATATATAATTTTAAGAACATGTAATTCATCTTAGCTTCTTTCAGAAGGCTGTTAATTTTTTTTCTTTCAGAAAAGTCAAGTGGATGAGAAAAACTGTAGAATCTTAGCACATTACAGATTGTTAAGCATGTCTAAATGTGGCATAAAATGTTACTTTAAAAGCTTATAAACATTTGTTTTTTTAATCTTGTTAATATGTGTATAGTTAATTTTATGAATATATAGATAGATTTTGTTACATATTTTATAATTACTAATCCATAATGCAGAAACCTTTTTGTTTTTTATGGCCATGCCACGCAGCTTGTGGTATCTTAGTTCCCTGAGCAGGGATTGAACCTGAGACCTCAGCAGTGAGAGCGTGGAGTCCTAACCACTGGACCTCCAGGGAATTCCCAACCATTATTTTTTTTAATGACATGCTAGTGATAGGAAAAATAGTAGATGTAACAGTTCCTGGTGAAGGGGATGGATAAGAATTACTAGGGCTATTTTCCTACTGGAGAAAATGAAGCATAGAGAAACAACTTAATCTCTTTGAACGGGTCAATTTCACAATCAGAGCTAGATCTCAGCTCATGGATCCTTATCTTTTGCTTTCTAGCAACTGGATCTCTTTAGGTTAATTCAGTTTAAAATCAGATACGGAAGACAGTGTAACTTTAAATGCAAAAGGTTAAATTTTCTTAAATGTTAAATTGGAATCACTCAGGCCATTTAAACTTAACCCAAAACAAAAATAGAAATGTAACATGAGGTATTCTCTTGATCAATAGCTCCTATGTTTGGTGATAAGAATGCAGAGAAGAAAAAGACAGATCTGCCCCAAGGGTACTTATACATGAAGAATAGTTACAGGAAAGAGCATTGGGCTTGCGGTTAGACTTGCTAGCTGTGTTTTCTCAGGCAAATTAGGAATCAAGATAGGATGGTGATTAAAAAGTGGGCTCTAGAGCGAGATTTCCTATATTTGAAACCCTGTCTCTGCCATGCACTAAACGTGAGGATCTTAGGCAAGTGGTTTAATGGCCCTGTACCTCAGAAATGCGCTTCATCCATAACAGAATAAGTGTTTTCTGTATGCTTTAAGAATTTTGGATTCTGCTTTAAGAATTTTAGACTCTGCTTTAAAGAACAAGAAAAACAATGGGATGGATGAAATTCATAAGAAATGTTAAGAATACATAGTAAGTACATCTTTAACCTATAGGACACGTTAAACATACATAGAATAAATAGACACTTATGGCTTTTTCGCAACGGGTTTGCCGCCAGGATAGAGGTGTCGTGAAAACCACCGCTAAACCTAAGCAAAAATGGGAAAGGAGAAGACGCACATCAACATCGTTGTCATCGGACACGTAGATTCCGGGAAGTCCACCACTACTGGCCATCTGATCTACAAATGTTGTGGGATCGACAAGAGAACTATTGAAAAGTTCGAGAAGGAGGCTGCCGAGGTGGGGAAGGGCTCCTTCAAGTATGCCCGGGTCTTGGACAAACTGAAAGCTGAACGCGAGCGTGGCATCACCATTGATATATCCCTATGGAAATTCGAGACCAGCGAGTACTATGTGACCATCATTGATGCCCCAGGACACAGAGACTTCATCAAAAGCATGATTACAGGCACATCCCAGGCTGACTGTGCTGTCCTGATTGTTGCTGCTGGTGTTGGTGAATTTGAAGCAGGTATTTCCAAGAATGGGCAGACCCGTGAGCATGCCCTTCTGGCCTACACTCTGGGTGTGAAACAACTAATTGTTGGAGTTAACAAAATGGATTCCACCGAGCCACCCTACAGCAGGAAGAGATACGAGGAAATTGTAAAGGAAGTCAGCACCTACACTAAGAAAATTGGCTACAATCCTGACACAGCAGCATTTGTGCCAGTTTCTGGCTGGAATGGTGAAAACATCCTGGAGCCAAGTGCTAACATGCTGTGGTTCAAGAGATGGAGAGTCACCCGTAAGGATGGCAGTGCCAGTGGAACCACACTGCATGAAGCTCTGGATTGCATCCTGCCACCAACTCGCCCAGCTGACAAACCCTTGCGTTTGCCCCTCCAGGACATCTACAAAATTGGTGGTATTGGCACTGTCCCTGTGGGTCGAGTGGAGACAGGTGTTCTCAAACCTGGCCTGGTAGTCACCTTTGCTCCAGTCAATGTGACAACTGAAGTGAAGTCTGTTGAAATGCACCATGAAGCTTTGAGTGAAGCCCTTCCTGGGGACAATGTGGGCTTCAATGTCAAGAACGTGTCTGTCAAAGATGTTCGTCGTGGCAATGTGGCTGGTGAGAGCAAAAATGACCCACCAATGGAAGCAGCTGGCTTCACAGCTCAGGTGATTATCTTGAACCATCCAGGCCAAATCAGTGCTGGCTGTGCACCTGTGCTGGATTGTCACACAGCTCACATTGCCTGCAAGTTTGCTGAGCTGAAGGAGAAGATTGATCATCGTTCTGGGAAAAACCTGGAAGATGGCCCCAAATTCTTGAAATCTGGTGATGCTGCCATCGTTGATACGGTTCCTGGCAAACCCACGTGTGTTGAGAGCTTCTCTGACTATCCTCCTCTGGGCCGCTTTGCTGTTTGTGACATGAGACAGACGGTTGCTGTGGGTGTCATCAAAGCAGTGGACAAGAAGGCAGCTGGAGCTGGCAAGGTCACCAAGTCTGCCCAGAAAGCTCAGAAGGCTAAATGAATATTATCCCCAGTATCTGCCACCCCAGTCTTAATCAGTGGTGGAAGAATGGTCTCAGAACTGTTTGTCTCAATTGGCCATTTAAGTTTAATAGCAAAAGACTGGTTAATGATAACAATGCATCGTAAAACCTTCAGAAGGAAAGGAGAATGTGTTGTGGACCATTTGTTTTGTGTGTGGCAGTTTTAAGTTATTAGTTTTTAAACTCAGTACTTTTTAATGGAAACAACTTGACCAAAAATCTGTCACAGAATTTGAGACCTATTAAAAAAGTTTAATGAGAAAAAAAAAGAAAAAAAATAGACACATGTGTTAAATGTAGATTAAACTGATGAAACAAATGAGAGTGTTAATTTGTAGATAGAGAGCGATGGAAAGCAAAACCTTAAATGTTCACAAAGCATGGTTCAGCTTTACCTACCTCAAATTGGCCACCCACTGGTATCTACCCATTCTAGCCCACTTATCCTGTGGTTAAAGCATGCACTGCTGCCCACCAA